GAACAACATAAAATACCTTGGGGTAACGCTAACCAAACAAGTGAAAGACCTGTATCGTAAGAACTTTGAATCTTTAAAGAAAGAAATTAAAGAAGCCCTTAGAAAATGGAAAGATCTCCCATGCTCTTGGATAGGTAGGATCAATGTAGTAAAAATGGCAATCCTGCCAAAAGCAATCCACAGATTCAATGCAATCCCCATTAAAATTCCAGCACAATTCTTCACAGACCTTGAAAGAACAATAATCAATTTTGTATGGAAAAACAAAAGACCCAGGATAGCCAAAACAACCCTGTTCAACAAGGCAACGTCCGGAGGCATCACCATCCCTGACCTCAAGCTCTATTACAGAGCTATAGTCCTGAAAACAGCTTGGTATTGGCACAAAAATAGACAGGTAGACCAATGGAATCGAATTGAAAACCCGGGTATTAACCCACACACGTACGAACATCTGATCTTTGACAAAGAAGCTAAAAATATACAATGGAATAAAGAAAGCATCTTCAACAAATGGTGCTGGCATAATTGGAGACTGGCATGTAGAAGAATGCGGATCGATCCATGTTTATCGCCATGCACAAAACTTAAGTCCAAATGGATCAAAGACCTCAACATAAATCCAGCCACACTGAACCTCTTAGAAGAGAAAGTGGGTGGTACCCTTGAACGAATTGGTACAGGAGACAGCTTCCTGAACATAACACCAGTAGCACAGACAGTGAGATCAACAATTAATAAATGGGACCTACTGGAACTGAGAAGCTTCTGTAAGGCAAAGGACACAGTCAGCAAGACAAAAAGGCAGCCCACAGAATGGGAAAAAATATTCACTAATCCCACATCTGACAGAGGGTTTATCTCCAAAATTTACAAAGAACTCAAGAAGCAAGTCTCCAAAACACCAAAGGACCCTATTAAAAAGTGGGCTGCAGAACTAAATAGAGAGTTTTCAATAGAGGAGTCTAAAATGGCTGAGAGGCACTTGAGAAAGTGCTCAACATCCTTAGCCATCTGGGAAATGCAAATCAAAACAACTCTCAGATACCATCTCATTCCTGTCAGAATGGCTAAAATCAAAAACACCAGTGACAATTTATGCTGGAGAGGATGTGGTGAAAGGGGGACACTCCTCCATTGCTGGTGGGAGTGCCAACTGGCTCAGCCACTTTGGAAATCAGTATGGAGATTCCTCAGAAAAATGGGAATAAACCTACCACAAGACCCAGCAACTCCACTCTTAGGCATATATCCAAAAGATGCCCATTCATACAACAAAGATGTCTGTTCCACTATGTTCATAGCAGCTTTATTTGTAATAGCCAGAACTTGGAAGCAACCTAGATGTCCCTCACCCGAAGAGTGGATAGAGAAAATGTGGTACATCTACACAATGGAGTACTATCAGCAGAAAAAAATAATGGAATCATGAGATTCGCAGGCAAATGGATGACACTAGAAGAAACCATCCTGAGTGAGGTAACCCAGTCACAAAAGAGAAACATGGCATGTACTCTCTCATATATGGATTTTAGACATAGATCTGGGGAGTGCCAGCCTATAATCCAATGGCCAGAGAGTCGGGGAAACAGAAACTTCATTTAGTGGCTGATCGAAGAAGAGGCAGACTCCCTTGGTTAAGTACTGAGCTGAACTCAAGAAAGCCAGTAACAGAGAGGGAGGACTGATGATCAAAGGGATTAAGACGGGGCTGGTTTAACCCCCAGAAACAGCTGACCAGACAAAGGTTAACTCTTGAATCCCAGGCATCAGCCTGGGAATCCAGCATGGGACTGATCAAGACCCCCTGAATCTGGGTGTCAGTGAGGAGGCCTAGGGAATCTATTGAGCCTTGGGCAGCAGATCAGTACCCATCCCAAGTATACACACGGACTTTGGACTCCCATAGAACAATGTGAGGTGCACTCTCACCCTGAACTCTTGGGGAAGGGTCTAGGCCCTGCCCTATATGAAATGACAGACTATGGACACCCCCATGGAGGGCATCACCCTCCCTGGGGGAATGAGGGGATAACGGGGGGGGGTTGGGGGAGGGCACGGGAGGAGGGGAGGGAATGGGAGAGGGACCTGGAACTGACTTGTGAAGCAACCTCGTTTCTTATCTAAATTTAAACTGGAAAATAAAATATAAAAAATAAAAAAATAAAACAATGACTCACTATTTCTCAAGGTGTGTGTGTGTGTGCGTGTGTGTGTGTGTGTGTGCGTACATGTTCTTGTGGAGGCCAGATGTTGACACTGAGTTTCTTCCTCGTGCTTTCCACTTCATTTTTTTAGACAGAGTCTCTTCCTGAACCAGGGACTCACCAATTCAGCCAGATTAGATGGATGGACAGCAGCCTAGGCATCCCCTTGTTTTTGCCTCCCTAGCACCGAGACGACAGGTGCACACTGCTGCACCTGGACTTTCTATATGGATGCTGAGGCTCCAAATTCAGGTCTACATATTTATATTGCAAACACTTTCCCACTGAGATATCTCCCCAGATTGATTTTGTGGGTCTTCTGTGTTCATTGAGTAGTTCACTAGTAGTTCAGTCACCCACATTGTTGCTGCCAGCTGGGAGCTTAGCTTGTCCAGGAGAGTATGACTCACAATCCTTGCTGTTGGTTACAGATGTTGGCTGGGGCCATTGTTTCATGCTCTGGAGATTGTGGCTGTGCAATCTCTCCAATAAGAGAGCCTGGTTCCGATGTGAGTAAGATCTCTGGCCTTAAGACTTCTAAAAAATAATAAGCTAGTCCCTAAAGGATAATTTAAAGGAAAAGTCAACTGAGATACAAAAGTATGTATAATATTCAGAATATAGTGGTTTTGTTTTAAAGTGGAAATATATTAACATATTTTCTTTCAATTTTGCAATGTTTAAATTAAAATATACAAAACTATATATTCCTGGGTTAGCACAGTATTTAAATAAATTTAATAAAGTTTAAATGGTGCTAAAAAAAAGAGAGAGAGAGAGCCTGGTTCCTAGCTTCCTATGGAGTAAGAAATCAAGGCAGTATGGTTTCTCAAGGTCTAGTCCTAAGTTACCCCTTGCCACTTCTGTTATGTCCTATGGGAAGGGCAAGCTACAAGGCCAATTCAGATCCAAAGACAAGGAAAGGGATTTCACCTGTTGATGTGAGGAGTGGTGTGGGAACACCAGAATGGAGGGACTGTTGTAGCAATGTTTGTCAAGTGGCCCATCTCCCTCATTGTCCATCTTCAGTCAGAAGAACAAGGGTTTCAAGCTAGGAGGCTCCTTGACTGTCAGCTGATTCAGACTGTGGTCTGCATGTTTGGGTCTCTCTCAGGTAGAATCACCAAGGAGATGATTTGAGGTATTAACCTTAGGGGTTGATTATGTCATGAGGGCTCTGCCCTCATAAATAGACTTTGACCTTATAAAGTAAACCCAAGAAAATTCTATTCCTTCATGTGAACACTCAAGGCATTGTATATGAACCAGAAATTGGGAGGATTCTAGCAATCAAATACACCAGTGCCATGATTGAATTTCCTGGTCTACACACACACACACACACACACACACACACACCAGCCCAAATGGTCCAGCACCCACATTATGGCTACAACAATATGTAACTCCAGTCTTGGGATCCACTGGCCTCAGGCACGTTTAAGATAAATAAGCTAAGCATTGGGAAGTTAAGCCACTCTCCAGGGCCAGTGCACCTGGTAGAGGAGCCAAGTTTAGAGCCTGAACTCCCTTGGTTGGTGTCATCAGAAGATGACATATGTCAGATGTAGATGGTACCCCCTCTAGTGAAGGGTGCCTCTCTGGAGCGTCTATGACTCCAGGTTGGTACAGAAGGAAGAGTCTGTTGGCCTCCTTTGATTTCTGTGCCTGGTAACTGCCTCCCTATTCCTGAGCCAGTCATCAAGGATTTTTGTTTGGTATTTGACTGCACTGACCAGCACTAACTAGGCAAGCCCTCCTCATCACTGTCTCTTCTGTGTATTCTGAGCATGACATGATGCTCAGTTTTATAACATGCATGAAAAGCAGCTGTCCACACTTCAGAGAATGTTAGAAAATGAAATCCAACATGCTTATGGGATGTGTTAGAGTAGCCCGCCACACTCTTGTGGCTTCTCCTAAGACCTGCAGACAGCTGCTGCAATGGAAAATGTTTGCTTGTTTGAAATGGAGTATGTGATCCATAAATGATGAATCCCCCTCAATGTAGCCATGAACCTGAAAATAATTAAGAGGTTCCATTTCCCCACAATGTTAGGATGCTATTTTGGATTACTTGCAGCCGGCTGGGTGGAGAACAGATATTTATTTTGCATCAAAGACAGTATTTGTTTTCTAGTATAGTTCTGAAATCTCCCCAACCCCTATGGGAAATAGCTGGCTTTCCTTGAAGACTGTGGTAAATGACGAGGATAATTATTTGATTTATGACTCCTTAAAGGTCACAGACTTCCAAAGATGTTGAAAAAATCTTCCCTTGATTCCTGCTGTAGTATTGATTCATAAAATCTTGGTTTTTATTATTATAGCATTTAGTGTATTTGAAAATAAAAATAATATTTGATTGTTAAGGAGAATTTGAAAAGCACAAAAAAAGATGAAATCAGAGCTCTCAGGTACTTTGGTTGAGACCATTTGTAAGGTTTGGGGATAGACTTGGTGCAGAGCACTTTCCTTGCACCCCCAAAACAGAACACACTAATGCCCCTGTTAAAAGTGTTGGCATCAACCCTTCCCATCAGAGAAAATGAGCAGGCAATCTGCAGATTGGAAGACATACATTTACACAAATACATACAAACAAATATATATATATATGTGTGTGTGTGTGTGTGTGTCTGTGTAGTATATATAAATAGATATAGGTAGATGGTTTTCTTTAAAAATAAAGCCACCTTGTAAAACAATTTTATAAATGATTCTGTGTATGTGTTGTGTCTAAATGTTGCATAAACATGTTTCTGTCACTAAACATTCTTCTTGCATTGACAGGACAGTGATATTGAAGCCCTGGTTGGGTGTTTGGAAAATGTCCTGGGTTGTACCTCTTTAGGTAAGTCAGCTTCTCCGGATTTCAAACTGCAGAGATATTTTTGTTTCCACTAGAATAGCCAAGAAGTGGAAAGCATTGCAGGGACCTCACAGATAGTCTGGTCCACATTCTGTGTTTTAGAGAGGAGAAGGCCAAGGCCAATAGAGATGAAAGGGTCTGGCATAACAGCAGAAATCTTTATTATTATTACAAGTGACTTCTAGTCTCCAAGGATGAAGAAAATGACACTTGGTAGTCCTTTCTGATCAAAAAGGTAGCTGGGCTGTGCACAAAGGCTTAGAGTCCCTGGAAAAGGAACCTCCCTGTCCGTCGGGTTCTACCAAAGCAGATTACGCTCAGCGAAGCTGAAAGGCCTGTCACTCTGAAGGTCAGTCAGTTATTGGAAGAGATTTGGTATGAAAAACAAATCTGAAATGTCTTTAGCATTGTCGGTCTCAATAAAGGGGATTGCTGTGCTTCAATGATAAAGCCCTGGTTTTTTTGTTTGTTTGTTTGCTTCTTTTTTTAATCCAAAAAGCCCAGCTGTGATAACTTTCAGCATTCCACAGTAGATTTTTCACACAGAGTTCTTAAAGATCCTAGATGAAAATGACTGAGGTTTTTTCCTTTCAAATTTTGAGTGAGTGTTTTAGGAGTTTTAATTATAAAAACAAAAGCAGTATCTTCAAAGGAGATGGCAAGAATATAAAGATCAACGATGGCATTTTTTCTGTAGGGGAAACAGTCACCACTATTTGTTAGGAGTTTTCTGCATAATATATAGCCATTTTCTAGCTTTTGCCACATCTCCATGCACAAAGTCATAGTTACCAATGTCTCTTTGACCTGTGTAGAAGACATGGAATGCTTCACTTGGGCAAGCCATTTTTTCCTCTGTATCTCAATTAGATGAGAAATCTTCAACACAGACTTCTCGGGCAGGTTTTGGCAAAGGTGTTTGCAGCCTGGGTCAGAATGTGCATTTCTCCTATGTTTTTCCAGAAACTCATACTTTGTCTGGTGAATAAGAGGCTCCTAACAAGCATTTTTAGTTATTTTAGGAGCAATCCAATGCAAACCTTGTTAGTTTATCAACTGCAACCAACAACTGCAACCAAAATAGTTTCACTCTTGTTTGTGTTACTAATTGGCCTTCCTACCTAAAATTGTGTCTTGAAATAGACATACCCTTCCACAAAAAAGTAACCTAGGTTGTATAGGTGGCATCTACTTATACCTCTAAACTGTATAATTTTATAGAAACGAGCATGGGAAGTGTGTAAGGAAAACACATTGATCTCTGCCTGGAGTCCTACTAAAGTGACTTCAAGAGATAAAGCTGACATAAACTTACAGGAAAAAAGGAGTGAATTTGAGAATGGGGGAATGGTGACTAATTGAGAAAGCAGTTCTGAAAGCTAACCTCCTAAGATTTGTGTGTGTGTGTGTGTGTGTGTGTGTGTGTGTGTGTGTGTGTGTGTAGGGGATACACCTTTACTATGGAGAAGCAAGCCAACTGTCCCACAGAACCCAAGGAAGGCTCGGGGTTTAAGACTCAGTTACTCTGAGAGCAGGATGTGGGTGAGGAGAAGCATTGTTTGATAATGTGAATAAAGAACAATGGGCTCAAGGTCCTTTTCTCGCCACTAACACTGTCAAGAAACCCCTTTCCACAGTGAGACACAAAGTATGAGATATCATGGGGGCACTAAGTGACAGAGGCTCTGGATTTAGGGACACAAAAGACATGCATCATTTACCCACATCACAGATGTTATGAAAACATAAAGAAGCTCAGTGTTGATTAATAAAAACCCCACACTCCGCTTCCCTTACCTACACTTTCCAAATACTGGCAGAGCAGTGTAGATGTAGATCCATTCAGAGGACATCACCCAGACCACTTACCAGACTAAGGTTCTTATGAATGTGGATATCCTCCCAACAAAAAAGGTAAAGACCAGACCTGCCAGTTGATAATACCAAGTTTACAGAAAGGGCTCAACATGGCTTGTAATGCTTAACACTTAGATTTGAACACATAGTTGGATGGAATATGTTTGTCCCTCATATCACACATGTGTAATGTTCCTCATGCCTAACAAACAGGAGAAAAATCAAGATAGAAACGTATAAAAGCACCAGGAAGCACAATGTAAGGAAGAAAGGAACATTATCCTATCACTAAATTCTTGAAATATGTTAGAGACTCTTACAGAAACAAATGAAAAGGAATATCCATAAAATAATAAAAAGTTGTGAAGATTATAATTAAAAAGCAGGATGGAAAATTCACTAGAATTAAGAATAATTTCCAGAATGAAATAAGCAATAAGAAAAAATCAATCGAAGTGATTTAGAATCTAATTAAAGAAATTTCAGGAGAAACAGGAAAGAAGAAATTGATAGTTCTAGAGAGAATAAAACAGAACATGTATAAAATATCAGGAAAAATAATGGTTTCTTAGTTTTTCAATAATACCAGAGGCTAGAAGATAATAAAATTCAAATCTAGATTTTTTCTTATCTTCTCAACCATGAATCAAGTATAGATCTAAAAAAAATCTAACCAATACCATCAAACATGAGAGAGAAAATCAAGCCACTTTCAAACACACAACTTCAAAAAGTATGTCTCAAAAATATCTATCATTCATGACTTTCCTTAGGAAGTTTCTAGAAATCACACTATATGAAAGTATAGCAGTTTATCAAGAAAGAGTAAGACAGGGGCTACAGGTGATGTGGGTAAACACAAAAAAAGTTAAGGGCTTCAGGGAGTGCTAGTAAAGGAAGGTCTCCAAATGGTAACCGAGCAACAGGCCTGGAGAACAATCTGTTCAGAGTGGGCTGGGCCAGAGAACTTCAAGGCTAAATGGGGATATGCCAAAAAGATGTGGAACTAATGATAATCCTGTGAATCTAGCTATTGTGTGAGTTTGGAGATGGATTATAGTTCTTTTGGAAACATTAGGGATGGGTTAGAGAGAAAAAAAAAACAGAAAAAAGCAACATAAAAACAAAAGCTTAGAAAGGAAATGTAACCTACATACATTGTGTGTATGACATTTATTTGTCTATAATAGTTTAATGATTTGATTATTTAAAATTTGTAGTATAACTATTTTGGCAAGGTAGAGAAAAGAGAAGAAGGGAAGAAAGAGAGAATGGAACAGGGAAAGAGAGAAAGAGATGGACAAAGACAGGAAAGAAAAAACAAAATTCAAATTCCCTAGGAAGGTCATAGAGAGTGTAAAATAGGAAACTCAAATATAGTTGTATAAACATGAGATATAGAAAAAAGAGCAAATAATAAAAATAGCAAATATATTAAATGTACTTGATTTGGGGAAGTGGAACAGTTAGGAAACATTTTATTTTCTTCAAATTGTTGATTTTGACTTTTAAAAGTATTGTGTACATGAATTCATATAAGTTAAATTTTTTGGATCATCCAGGAAGGTTTTTTCTCTTTTTTTTTTAATTTAAATTAGAAACATGCATGCTTCAAATGTCAATCCCAGCTCCCCCCTTCTCCCTCCCAGCCCCACCCCCACATCTTTCCCCAGAGAGGGTGAGACCCTCCTTGGGGATCTCCAGAGTATGTCATTTCATCCAGGGCAGGACCTAGGCCCTTCCCCATGTGTCCAGGCTGAAAGAGCATCCCTCCATGTGGAATGGGCTCCCAAAGTTCAGTTGTATGCCATGGTGAACACTAATCTATTACCCAAGGCCCCAGAAATTTCTGAGGCCTCCTCACTAACTTTTAAATTTTTAAATTATTTTAAGTATATGGATATTTGGCCTGCATGTATGTCCGTGTACTATGTGTGTGTCTGGTGTCTATTGAGGTCAGAAAGGGTATCAGATCACCTCGCACTAGAGTTAGGGATGGTGTGAGCAGCCATGTGTGTGCTGGGAATCAAACCCTGGTCCTCTGCAAGAGCAGCCAGTGCTCTCCAGCCTATGTCACTTTTTAAAATGGACATAGAATAAGCATGAGCCAGCAGGTATCCCTTTGATACACGATTACATTCCCTTTGTTTATACACCCAGAGTGAAATAGCTCGATCATTACCATTTTTAATTTTTTGAGGTACTTTCTTACTATTTCCTATAACAGCTATAGTAATTTACATAAACATGTATAATTAAAATCATCATCAGTTGGAAAGTAGAGACCAATTCTGCTTCTTTCCTCTAGTGAACCTATTCTTAAGCCTGGAATAAGACATTTGGACACTTTGGTTACTAAGATTATAGTAAACTTAGATGTTTGTTTGTTTGTTTGAGACAGGGTCGGTCTGTGTAGCCCTGGTTGTCCTGGAACTTGCTATGTATGTAGAGGAACAAGCAAGCCTGGAACTTATAGGGATCATCCAAATTTTTTGTTTAGGTTAGTCTGTCAAAAAACAACTGCATACACTATGAAGTTCTAATAGCCTTTTTCCAGGTTCTCCAATTGCAAGACTGGACAAAGGCATCAAGGCTGGATGATCCTGCGTTAGATGTCTCTACCACAGAGTGCTTATAAAGCATTTAGGTCAGCCACAAATAGACTGCTAAACTGTTTGCTCCCTAAAATTACTTCTCATCACTGGAAACTTCCTTGTGTGTCTGTGCACATGTGTTTGCTTACGGTGTGTCTCCACTGTTGTGATACAACACTGACTAAAACAACCTGGGGAGAAAAGGGTTTATTTGGGTTACAGGTCCTGATCATAGTCCACCACGAGAGAAGCTGAGCAGGAACTCAAGCAAGAACATGAAGGAACCATAGGAAAAAGCTATTTGTTGACTATATTCCATGTTCATGGTCATCTACCTTTCTCTTTTTAAATAAGAAAGTAATTGGAATGTGATTACATAATTTCTCCTCTTCCTCCTTTCAATACCTCTTTACCCACCCCCGCTCTCCCTCAAAGTCATGACTTTTTTTTTCTTTAGTTATTGGCTACATACAAGTACAGATATGTAAATACAATCTGCTGAGTCTGCCTAGTGTTGCTTGTATGTATATG